ACTGAAGAATTAGAAAAAAATTTTGAATATTCAATGTTGTATCAAATACTTGATACGAAGTTGAAGAATCCCGATCTCTGCGATGAATTAACAGAAGAAAAATATTACTGGTATCTGTTACAAGTGGAAAAATTATATGAAAGAAAAGGTGATATGTGGACTAAAAAAGATTATGAAAAAGCTAACGAGTTAGTAAAAAAATACACAGAAAATAATGAAACAAGACACCTTAGACACCGGAAAAAAGATGATAATGAACTAAGAAGTATATATCTAAAATTACCATATGAAATTAAAAAAGATCAAAAAGAAATTTTTGAAAATGTAAACGAATTGTGGAATAGAAGTATCAATGAAGCCAAAGAATCTCGATTAGAAATTCCGGATTCATTAAAAAATGATATACAATACGAATCACTCGACAGAAAAACTTTTTTAAAATTAGCTGATACAAGCAGTAAATCGAAACAAAAAAAAAAACAAAATAAAGATAATAATTGAAATAATTATTATAACATTTAATATAAATTTATATTTTTTTCTCTATTTTGATCAAGCTTTTCTCGTTCAAATTGTCTCCTTTTTTTCTTCTTTTTCTTGTTATTAAAATAAATAAAATTTAACAAATTCGTTGAATAAAAATAAAATAAAGTAAAAAATACTAGATAAGAAATAATGATCTTTATTCCCAAATATAGATTGTCCACAAATGGTAATTTCTATTTTTTAATATATAAATAACGTGATTTACATACTGTAAAATTTAGTTATTAAAAAATGGTTGCAGTAAAACCAACTAGATTTTTACATTCTATGTCGACTGTTTTCTATTGTATTCCATGTTTGGAAACTTACAAATGTAAAAAAAATCCTAACGAAAAAGAAAAACAAGTGCGAGAAAAAGAGTACTCAAAAACAGGAATTGTTCCAGAATGTAATCTATGTCTTCGAAATCACTGGTGTTGCAAGGATAATAGTTGTGATAAATGTTGTAAATTGCGAGAGTGTAATGATATTATTTGTTCAAATTGTGTAGAGAAGAATATACGATGCAGATGTGTTCTACCAAAAACACAAGAAGATTTTGACGTGTTGGAAAGATTAGGAGTAACGTTTTGCTTAGGACAATATGAACCAACAACTAATGGGCAATTCCATGAGCAAGTTTATTTCCAGCTCAAGGCTCATCAAACTGTTCTATCTGCAAAGAAAATATTTGGTCACACAGCGATGAATTTTCCAAAATATCTTAATGGCAATTCGAAGCAAAATCTTGCTTACAGCACAAAACTGTATGGAAGATGTAAGCTTCATAAGAAGAAATGTCGATGTAGTTACAAGAATCTTGATGAGTTTTGTGATGCGTGTAATAAGAATTGTAGGCCTTTGAGAAAGTGGGCACGGTAGGTTAATAGGGATGGAAATCGATTACCTGATAATGTCGTCGGTCCTTTTGTATTCGGTGTTTATCAAGATCTTTCTGCTTCCAAGAAGTTTTCCAGTGCTGTTGATGAGTTAGAAGAGAAAAAAATAAAAGAATTTGAAGTGATAATCGAAGGAAATAATAAGCTTTTAGAGGGATCTACACCGTTACAAGTGTTTGAATGTAATAAAGATAGTGTTCGATATTCTAACAATTATATTAGTATGAAAGCGATTTATATTGATTTGGAGAAGGAAAGAAAGAAAAAAGTTCAAAGATTCTGGCGACCCATAGTTTTTTATTTGTTTGGACCAGGTGGAAGTGGCAAATCTGGATTGGTACAGGAGCTTTTTAAGGATGAATTCTATGATAAATACATGAAGCAAAGGTCTGGATCAAATTGGTGGAATGAGTATGATGGTCAGGAGATCGTGTTCTTGGATGAGTTTTATACCAAGATTGAGTGGAATAACATGGTTAATTTGCTAAACGATTCGAGTTGTAGTGTGGAGATTAAGCATGGTGGCTTTGCTCCATTTCTTGCAAAATACATATTTATGACTACTACAAAGAATCCTCTTGAAGTATATAATTTCAACAATCAAGGTGGAAACAAGGATGATAACAAGCGTGATTTTTGACAGTTTGGCAGACGTTTGGATTTCGTGATCGAGTTTGATGGGGTCTGGCATGATAATGTTAGTGAGCACACTACAAGAATCACGTGTTATCAGTGTGAGTTGGAAGGAATAAATTGGGGTACAGAGGAGCAATTTCGTAACATGAACTGGGACATCAAATATAGAAACGGTTGCAATACTCCAGCAGAAGTCATAGAAAAGAGTAAGATTCTTAATAAGGGCATTGAAGGAGAGCATGTTATGATTGGACACACGGTATATTGGCGTCGTAAGTTTCCAGAGTATAAGCGTCGTTATCTGCAGGATTATCCAATGAGTCGGGAGCTTTTCGAGTATCGTATGGAATGTGAATTTTCACAAAATTTAATAGAAAATACAGATCCTCAGATAGAATCTAGCACTTCACAGAAGCGAAAAAATGTTGATAATTCGGTTGTTACTATAGATATTTATGATGAAAATTCTAATAAAAATCACGTTTTGATTAGTAAATTATTCATATGTCTATCAAAATACCAAATATGGAATCCACATTTGGTAATTTTAAATGTGAGCTTAATTTGTTTGTATTTAAATCTTTATAAATTTGTATTGTTTCCAGAATAAGAAAATAAAAATGTCTTTAACTGTTGAAATTTGTAAATTAAGAAAAATCATAAAGCAACAACAATACAAGGAAATGAAAAAAAAATTTCCTGATCATATTCTTTTTCAAGAGATTGATGAAAGATATAAAATTGTGTATGATTTTATCGAGAAAAACATTAAACAACTTGAACTTTATAAGTCATTTT